ACTACAAATGTACTGAGAAAGACAGGAACATACTTTTTTTGTGAAATGTGTACCATTCGATAGCTAGACTATCTAGAACTTGTTGAACTAAAAAGCAGTTCGTGCCGGGATAAACCGGTAGAGATAATCCCTGCACAGTGAACGAGTTACAGTAATCTTAAACTACTTTCTTCACAGTTAGTATGGAATGCGTGCGACTTTTGTACCCCTAAGCATGGACGTTGCTCCCTTGACACCATTTAGCTGCACTTTTGTACAAAGAATCAAGGTCGTTAAAAAGAAGGAAATCGATATGCTAATTTAGGATGTGGGAGGGGACTGCGGGTTGCAAAGACAAAGGGAGACATCAGTAGCTATTCAAAATGAAGTAAAAATAATAGGATGGGATCTTATGCATAAACTACCTGACGTGCTCAGAGCAGCACAGCTAGATGTGTACAAGACATAACTGTTGGTGACTGCAATGCAGGGCTCCCTGAGCCTGAATGATAGCCATCAGTATTGGGGGTGTCCAATTTAAATTCACCACACACACTCTGGGGCCACGCCCAGAATTTTCCAGTAAAAAATCCAGGTGCCCTCACAGTTCAATTGACATTAATTTCCCTTTTCCCGTTATTACTTCTGTTAAAAGGCTCACTGCTGCATGCTGGGAGCAAGCTGTTCTCTCTGTGAGGAGGTGCTTTAAGCTTTAAGTTGCCATTTTCAGACTCTAAACCTGCCCCCCCCCCACAACTGTTTGCAACTATACAGCTGGGGTTCCCCCACTTCTAGGGGCTTCAATCAGCCCCTGGCCAGCTGGCCGGCGGGGGAAGCCCCACCCCCAAGAGCGACCACCCGCCCGGCCACCCCTCTCCCTCCCCTCCTACCCGATTTAAAGGGCTTCAGCTGATTGGCGGGGACCACGTGGCCCGCTGACCAGCTGGAGGGCCCTTTGAATCTAGCAGGAGGGAGGGAGAGGGGCGGTCGCCTCCCCAATCCCCCCGCCAGAGCAACGAGGGAACCTAGGAGCCCTATATATGGTTGTTTGGGGCACATACCCCCTGTACTGTATTATGCAAGTGAAGTAGCACTGGATGGGGTACGGACACAGAAAGGAAACTGGAACAAGGAAAGTGAGAGGCTTTGTGGTAGTCAGTCTTCATTCTGGCTACATATTTCTAGCCAAGCCATTTAGAACTCAGCAAGGCAAAGCAAATGTAGAAGGAATGATGCGGGGCTGATGCCTTGGATGTAACAATGGCATTTCCAAGTCATTCTTTTCGCTCTGTTAAAGGCGAACCTGAAAGCAGCTGTTTTGTATACCATGAACCACACTGGAGAGACCCCTCATGCCTGACAGTATCCCTAAAACTAAGGTTTGAGAACAGCCACAATGCTTATAACCCCATTTTGACAGTGCATGCCTCCAGCATTCACAGATCGTAAATCTGACATGACTTGAAGATTTAGAAAAGGAGACAACATCGCTGTTTGCAAGTCTGATGACTGGATAACTTCAGTTTTAGTACATCTCTGTACTACAAATGTAAACTAATCAAGGCCTTCCCACCTTGTGAACTTTAGGGATCTCTAATGCAAGTTTCTCTATACCCACACAAAACCACATTCCCCGGGGTTCCTTGGTAGAAGCTGTCTGGTTACAAACCCTGTTAGAATGGTTCATCGAGCTCACTTGAAGCTAGTTAATGTTGGCAGTGCAGACATAGCCCAATACTACATGAAGCATTTCAAATGGCAGAAAGCATCAACGACTGAGAAATAATATTACTGTATTGGACTAAAATTGGAATGTTTCCTTCTATGT